AGTTTCAACAGGAATGGTACCAACTCCTCTCTGTATGTCTGGTAGAATTCAGCTGTGAACCCGTCTGGACCTGGACTTTTTTTGGTGGGTAGGCTATTAATTACTGCCTCAACTTCAGACCTTCTTATTGGTCTATTCAGGGTTTCAACTTCTTCTTGGCTAAGTCTTGGGAGTGTGTAAATATCCAGGAATTTATCCATTTCTTCCAGATTTACTGGTTTATGTGCATAGAGTTGTTTGTAGTAATCTCTGATGGCAGTTTGTATTTCTGAGGAATCGGTTGTGATCTCCCCCTTTATCATTTTTTATTGCATCTATTTAATTCTTCTCTTTTTTATTAGCCTAGCTAGTGGTCTGCCCATTTTGTTGATCTTTTCAAAGAACCAGCTCCTGGATTTACTGATTTTTTGAAGGGTTTTTTGTGTCTCTATCTCCTTCAGTTCTGCTCTGATCTTAGTTATTTCTTGTCTTCTGCTGGCTTTTGAGTTTTTTTTATCTTGCTCCTCTAGCTTTTCCAATTTTGATGATAGGGTGTCAATTTTAGATCTTTCCTTGTTTCTCATGTGAGCATTTATTGTTATAAATTTCCCTCTAGACACTGCTTTAAATGTGTCCCATAGGATCTGGTACATTGTGTCTTCATTCTCATTGGTTTCGAAGAACATTTTTATTTCTGCCTTCATTTCATTGCTTATCCATTGGTCAATCAGGAGCAAGTTGTTCAGTTTCCATGTGATTGTGCAGTACTGAGTGCTTTTCTTAATCCTGAGTTCTAATTTGATTGTGCTGTGGTCTGAGAGACTGTTTGTTGTGATTTCCGTTCTTTTGCATTTGCTGAGGAGTGATTTATTTCCAATTATGTGGCCAATTTTGGAGTAAGTGCAATGTGGTGCTGAGAAGAATGTGTATTCTGTGGATTTGGGGTGGAATGTCCTGTAAATGTCTATTAGGTCCACTTGGTCCAAATGTGCATTCAAGTCCTAGAAATCCTTGTTGACTTTCTGTCTCATTGATCAATCCAATATTGTCAGTGGAGTGTTAAAGTCCCCCACTGTTATTGTGTGGGAGTCTAAGTCTCTTTGTAGGTCTTTAAGAACTTGCTTTATGTATCTGGGTGCTCCTGCACCGGGTGCGTAAGTATTAAGAATAGTTAGCTCTTCTTGTTGCATTGATCCTTTTACCATTATATAATGCCTTCTTTGTCTCTTTTGATCTTTGTTGGTTTAAAATCTGTTTTATCAGAGAGTAGGATTGCTACCCTGCATTTTTTTTTTTTTTGCCTTACATATGCTTGGTAGATCTTCTTCCATCCCTTTATTTGAGTCTATGTGAGTCTTTGCATGTGAGATGGGTTTCGTGAATACAGCACACCGATGGGTCTTAACATTTTATCCAGTTTGCCAGTCTGTGTCTTTTGATTTGGGTGTTTAGACCATTTACATTCAACAATAATATTGTTATGTTTGAATTTGATCCTGCCATTTTGTTACTGGCTGGTCATTTTGCCCGTTAATTGACATGGCTCCTTAATTCCATCATTATTCTTTACCATTTGGTACATTTTTGCAGTGGCTAGTACTGGTTGTTCCTTTCCCTGTTTAGTACTTCCTTCAGTAGCTCCTGTAAGGCAGGTCTTGTAGCAATGAAATCTCTCAGCAATTGCTTGTCTGTAAAGGACTTCTTTCTCCTTCACTTATGAAGCTTCGTTTGGCCAGATATGAAATTCTGGGTTGAAAGTTCTTTTCTTTAAGGGTGTTGAAGATTGGCTCCCACTCCCTTCTAGCTTGCCTGGTTTCTGCTGAGAAATTTGCTCTGAGTTTGATAGTCTTTCCTTTGTGGGTGACCCAACCTTTCTCTCTGGCTGCCCTTAGGATTTTTTCCTTCATTTCAACCCTGGTGAATCTGACAACTGTGTGCCTTGGGGTTGTTCTTCTTGAGGAATATCTTTGTGGTGTTCTCTGTATTTCCTGGACTTGAATGTTGGCCTGCCTTGTTAGATTGGGAAAGTTCTCTTGGATAATATCTTGAAGAGTGTTTTCCAACTTGGATTCATTCTCCGCATCACATTCAGGTACGCCAATCAAGCATAGATTAGGTCTTTTCAAATAATCCCATAGTTCCTGGAGGCTTTGTTCTTTTCACCCTTTGTTCTCTAATCTTGCCTTCTCATTTTATTTCATTGAATTGATATTCTACCTCTGAAATCCTTTCTTCTGCTTGATCAATTTGGCTGTTGAAACTTGTGTATGCCTCGCAAAGTTCTCGTGCTGTGTTTACAGCTCCATCAAGTCGTTTATGTTCTTCTCTAATCTGGCTATTTAAGTTAGCATTTCATCTAACCTTTTCTCAAGGTTCTTAGTTTCTTTGCATTGGGTTAGAACATGGGTCTTTTAATTCACAGAAGTTTGTTATTACCCACCTTCTGAAGCCTGCTTCTGTCAATTCGTCAGATTCAATCTCTGTCTTTTTTTGTTCCCTTGATGGTGAGGTGTTGTGATCCCTGGGAGGAGAAGAAATGTTCTGTTCCTTGGTGGTTTCATCCCTTTTGCACTGTTTTTTTCCCATCTTCGTGGATTTATCTCCCTTTAATCTTTGAAGTTGGTGATTTCAGGAGGAGTCTCTGAGGGTACTTTTTTTAACTGAGGTTGAAGCTGTATCTTTTTTGGCCTGTAGAGGGCTTTGCTGGGCTCTCTTGGGTTGAGTCAGGTTGTTGGGTAGGTGGTCCTTCCCTGGAGTTTGTTTGCAGGTGAGATTGTCCCCATCTTCCCAGTGGTGTCTCTCCCAGAGTGGGATGGTTTGTCCCACTGGCATTAGTCCAAATTTTCACCCAGGTCCCTGCAACAACTTGCCGAGCCCAGCGGTAGCCACTGCTCAGATTTGTACTGACTACCCACAGCACCTCACCGTCTGGCAGAGACCCTGTGGACCATGGGTTGCAGGAGGGATGAGGTAAGCACAGGATCCAAAATGGAGCTCCCTGGGGATTAAGTCTCCATATCCTCCAACCCGGCTACATGTTTCACCCTGCCTTGATTTGCCCCTGTGGGTGGTTGTAGCCCTGCGGCTCCTTCCCTAGGCCCAATTCCAGTGCCCTGTCAGTCCCACAGAAAAGAACCTGACACCTCGTTTGGAACCGTGAAGTCCTCCAGCCCTCTGTATCTCATTCACTGTGAGCTGCCTTCTGGTGCTGGCTTCTCTTGGCCATCTTGGTGCCCCCGCTCACTCTTCCTATTAATCAAAAGTTGACCAAATACATAACAATGTCTAACTCCTAGCTTAACAGCTTTCTCAGTGCCCTGGCATTTCATCTGTCTCTATCCAGAGATGTAAATTCATTTAAAAATGCCATTCTCAAAGTGTGGTCCTAGGACAAGGATCACCATCACATGGAAATCTGTTAGAAACACAATTGCTCAGGACCCATCTCAGACCTATTGAATCAGAACTTTGGGAGTGGAGCCCACCAATCCTCCAGATGACTCTAATCCTCAAGGAAGTTTCAAAACCACTAATTTGAAGTTTGAAGACCAATAGGTGTTCACCTTTCCCATAGAAATGGAGGCCCCTCATTCTTTCATTTACCATGGAGCTGACTCAAGATCCCACACCTCCCAGAGTAAGATGGGATCTGTGCCTAAGTATGCAAGTACAGCCTCACAAATATGCTAGCAGAGAAAAACAGGGAGATGTGGCCAAGTTGTTCTCTGTAATTTTTTAAAGGAATAGGGTGGATGTAGGAGTAACCCATATTTAGATTCAATCCCAACATTTTGTGAGCACCTGCTATGTGCATGCCTATGCTAAATGAAATTATATCTTGTTTAGATTTCCAGTAACAAAGGAATTAATATGTATTAAGTAGACAGGGGCTTAATATTAATCAAAATGGAGTCCAACCTGCAAATAAACAGAAAGACTTTATAATTCTCCAACTGATGTTCATTCGCATGTTTGGACAGCATGCTTGGTATGCCAAGGTGCTTGTATATGAATGTTCCTTTTGCTTCTTTTTGGCTAACTGCTCTCAAAGTTTATTGCATATCACAATTAGAATACTAGGTTGCTTACACAAGACCACGTGTCTCAACTTTTAAACCAACATAAGAAAATTTGAGTTAATTCTACATTACCCAAGGCAAAGTTTGTTTTATTCAAAGGTTTCAACTCTCAGGTGTTAAAAATCTAAGGTCTATAGGTTCTGTAAGATGTAAATCTGTCATACTCATTTATTTGGGGCTTTGATTCTCCCTTAAATAACTCTGTCCTGCCATTTCCACTATAAAAACCATTCTTCTTGGTTTAGGCCATATAAATTTAGGGAGTGGGAGTAGGGAGTTGAGTAGTTCTGCAAGTCCCCACTATCTGTTAACCCTACACCATTTGCCCTAAACTAGATGTAGCACGTGCTTCAGCATGAGTGCTGTCTTCCTTCCATCCTGTGCCCATGGGCAGACACTGTTAATCAATCAAGATACCCTTACCCAGAGCCTGGGCATTACTCTCAAGATCTCAGAATCCCTCTCAATCGCATTTCAGGCAGCTACTCAGAATCACTGGAAATATATATGACTAATAAGAGATATTTGTTTCACTGGCCAATCAACATGCCCCTTCCTTGTTTCCCTTCCTGCTCCAATCACATCTTTAAAGCCCTCCTTTGATTGTTTTCAAAACAAAAACATTAAGCTTCAGTTAATCTGAGCTGCAATCTTTGCAAATCTATGATACTTTGAGGCTCCCAATCATGGTAGATTGTCTAACAGTTTTAACAATTTGAATAGAGTTGTAACCCAGCATGTAACACAAAACTGCTCTGAAAATCAAAGAAACAAGTAAATAAAAGTACTAAAGAGATAAAACACCTGTGAAATAGCATTCTGTGCATATAACTGGGAAGTGTGCAGCGTGAATAGCCCAGGGAGGCTGCTGTAGAATACCAGGCTGATAAGCATGAAAACACGGCTTGCGTAAATAATTCTGACTTTGCTTTTGGTACTCACTGATGATTCTTTATTCTGCAAAGGGGGCACCACACTGTTCCTTTAGCAGCATCTCCATGATTCTAATTCCCTGTAGAAAGAAGAGAAAAAAATTAAAATGCCCTATTTCACAGACAAGTACTTTTACATTTATCACAACCTTTTCGCTTCAAAGAATCCAGGTCATGGCCAGATATTCATTTCAAAAAGGTAGGCTCATAGCCATACCTGACATTTTAATACTATTTCACTCAGCAATTTCACATACATTATCTCCGCATGTGCTCAGAACTACTCACGGACGTAGGCAGAACAGAACTTAGGATCTCCATTTTAAGCATAAGAAAATAGCCCAAGAGTAGTTAAATAACTTCTTGAAAGTAGCCCTGCCAGAGCTAGAATGATAATGGCAATAGTTAATATCCGTTGAACATTTACAGATATGCTAGATTCACAGCTGGGGTTTTATACGTATTACCTGGGGGTAGTGAGTGCTGTGGTGTACCACTGAGATCCCTCCCAGGACTAAAGCACTCCCCTTTCCACCAAGACTGTATGTAGGCTGCTTTTGGCACACAGCCACCGTCAGCCACAGGGAGCTGCCTTACCTGAAGTCATGTCCCTCGAGGGGCAGCCCACATCCAGTGACTGGTAAGTATGGGGGTATAAAGACCTGGCCTCCTTCCCTTAATTTGGGACAACTCTGAGGAGCATCCAATCCTCAAAGCTCTCCAAGAGATCAGCTAAGACCTTTGTGGCAAGTGCATCACAGTTCAAAAATCTCTTTCTATACCCCATGACAAGAGTTTTTCCTGAGTACATTCTCCAATACCCCCTGCAGGCAAATCTCAAACTTTGTCTTTGTCCTAAGAGCTGACTTTGGACACCTTAATGCACATAAAACCTCCAAATGAGTACTATCCTTACCCCCATTTTACGGACAAGGAAACATAAACTCAGAGAGGTTTAAATAATTTGCCCAAAGTTATACAACTATTAAGTAATAAAGCCAGGAAAAGAGCACAGGCACCCTCTTCCTTTTCACAGGCACCCATGAACCTTCTTGCAATGTTCATTCTGCTACTTTTCATACCCACCTGTCCACCCAGAATCTTGTCCAGGAAAATTCCACCTTGGATGAAAGAAAAAAGCAGAAATTTCTTTCCTCCTTAAAGAACAAATTCTACAGGCGAGAGGATAAACCTTCAAATGGAAAAGAGGGTTATGATGTAACTATAAACTGGGGTCTCCAGGTCATCAAAGTTGGATCCAAGGGAAAGGAAGCTGCCATTTTCAGATACCTGAGCCTGAGAATTGTTGCAGATAATAATAATAATAAGAGGAACTTAAATACAGGTTCCCAGGCCCCTCCCAGGAAGATTCTGATTTAATGGGACTCAAGCAGTCACCAGAACTCTGTGCCCTTAACAGGCACCCATATGATCCTCTTATGATCAGGCAGGGCTGGGAATGCCAGGTGGACTTGCAGGCGAAAGGCAGGGACTTCTGACTTGGAGTCTGAGCCAAGGGATGGGGATAGAGGGTAATCAAAGGCATCACTAGAGAAGACAATAAAATATATTTAACATCAAAGTAGACGAAACTAAAGTTAGTATTTCCTTCAGATTCTGCCTGGCCATCACCACAAATACTACCATTACCTTGGAAGGAAGCAGTATTACTGGATCTTGAGAGAATGCTGAGTAGTAAGGAGTGTTTGCTAAACTGAAGCAGCAAACCATAGGGCCAAGAGCACCACTGACAGAGGTAGGAGACCTGAGTTCTTATCACAACTCCACCAATCATTCTGCTGGGTACCTTAGGCTGATCACTTTTACCAAGGAGTAACGTAGACCACAGAGGTCAAGACACTGAGAGGCAGATGGGATTAGTGCTATCTATACCCAGCTTCACACTAACATTACTAGGGGAAGTCACAAAAGAAAACAGATTCCCAAGAGTCTACCCAAGAGTGTGTTTGACTCAGTCACAAATTTCAAAGCTCAGGCCCGAGTCTGTACATGTATAACATACCTCATGTTGATAAGGAAAGGTGGCAGGAAAATCTGGGTAGAAAAGGGCAGTCCCTGGTGAGGGCTACACCCTCAAGCCTGGATCTGTGGCCCAAAGTGAAAACATGCATTCCTGTTTTCCCACATAAATGTTGCTTTTTCCAAAACCACCCTGGCCCACGCTACTCCCCATCCTGTAACCATAAAAACCCCAGGCCCCACCAGTAGAGTAGCAGAGTGGCAGAGAAGAGAAGAAGCATCTGGACATCAGAGAAAAGCAGCTTGACTTCAGAGGGATGCCTTGATGGCAGAATCTCAGAGAAGAATTCAGCCAGGGACAGCCAAACTCCAGAAGAAGACCACCTTTCCACTCCATCCCCTTTCCAGCTCCCCATCCCACTGAGAGCCACTTTCACTGCTCAATAAAATCCTCCACATTCACCATCCTTCAATTCTTTCACACAACCTGATTCTTCCTGGATGCCAGACAAGGACCTGGGTGCACGTACAAGAGGCTATCACATTGACCCTTCCATTGAGCTGTTTAACACTTAAGCCATCCATGAATGACAAAGCTAAAATAGCACACTGTAACATGCACCCTCTGGGATTCTGAGGGTCACAGGCAACCTCTAGATGCTGCTGCAGGCCCGCACAGAGTTCTGCTCCTGCTGGTTGACCAGAAGCACTCATTCTGGCCCTTGCACCTGCTCACCTGTGTGTTCCCCTCCTACAAGGAGTTGAGAGCTGTGAGCTGAGTAAGTGAGCCAGTCCCTTCATAAGTCTTACAAAGGAGTCAGGGAACTATCACATTTCAATGTGATTCTGAAACAAGCAGTTCATTTACAAGAATTTATAAATAGCAGCTTTACATCATCTCTGAGATCTCTTCCAATTCTGACAGCCTGGGAATTGATGAAATAGTTTATCTTTAATCATTTCTGAAGATATAGTATATACTGTACTCTTAAGAGCCACCTGCCATTTAAAGAATTAGGGGAATGGGGGTTGGGGGCAAAGAATGAAGCAACCAGTGAAATGAAATTTAACTAAATTCTTAACAGAAAATCTGAATTGTGCCCTTTTGGTTCTTATTCCATTAACAACAGATCCAGTTAACAAATATGTACTATGCACCTACTATGTGCACTGGAGATTAAATGGTGAATGAACAAGATAAAGTACGTGCCCTTATGGAGTTTAGAGTCTAATGGATTCCAGAAAATGTTCATTCCCTGGTTTCACTTTTTTATTCTAACAAATCTCTGGACAGTAACTAAATGTCTTTTCTCTATTTTCAGGAAGAATAAAAACTATCACACTAATTTTCTTTCAAGCTTCTTTTTTGCAGAGTAGATGCATAAATCCAGACAGTATGACTTTAAGAAAAGCACACTTCTTCCCTAGGAGGTAAGAACCTGCAAACTTTCCCATCCATCTAAATTAAGACCTCCACCACTTATTGAACTGAATACTAATTGACATAAGTGAAGATTGAGGTTTTCCTTGAGAATTGAAAGATGTTATTTGTTGAATCAATTATGTTCACAGGGTGACGGTTGATCTTTTTTTCCCTTTTTCCCCCTCTCTCATACCACTTTAGTCTTTTAATGCAGAACAGTTAGAAACGGAACGTGGAGAATGGGGGCAGCGAGAGAGAGGCTTGTAAAGTGAATAAAAGAGAAAAAAACACCTAACAGGGAAGCTAAGCCATGATTTAGTACCTCTCTTTGGTGAAGAAGGACCAAATCAAAGCCTAATCGATAGAGTCCTTTCAAATAAAGTTCCAACGCTTAAATATCAACCCCCAGGAGATCAGGCTTAAAGAGGCTAAGTTTATACCACTTATCACACAATGATGCCTGAAATGCAGAACAAACATTAAGTGGATCTACCTTTATAGATAAGGCTTAAAAGCTTTTTAGACTGACAAACCGTAAACCAGCTTGATTTTATTATTTCTTTCCCCACTGACATTTTTTCTTCTCTATTACAAGGCTATCTTTCTCTATTTGCCTACGTACAGGTAAGTGAGCTACTTTGCAGGCTCATTTCCCTAATACCAGACCTGTGCTGGCCAAATGTATCCCCACAAAGGAGTCTCAGAGTCTTTCAGATTCAAAACACTTCGCAAATTCTCCACTCTAAGAGTCTGTGAGAAATAGCTGATTATTACTAAAAACACAAAACTTATCTTAGAGGAGCAGGAATAAGTTGAAACTAAAGGTGGCTAAATTCAAACAGTATATTTGTCTTGCTATAAAACTGATCCTTCCTTGAGAAGCTCTGATTTATGTAGGAGGCTCAGAAGAGAGTAATATTAGACTGAACAAAAATTTTCTAAAGCAGTTCTCAAAAGGTACATTCACAGGAGCTCCTAACAAAAGAGAATTGCTCACCTAATTATCAGTAATAAAAGACTGGTGTTAAAGAACCCCCACTGGAAATATTGCTTTCTGAGGGTCATGGCTTTGGAGTAAATACCATAAACAGTATTAGCACCCCCTCTGTGTAAGGAAAGACAGGGAAGCTATGTGGGACAGGGATGCAGATAAGCCAAGCAGCCTCTACTGAAGGGGCTATTGCCCTCTTCAGAGGAAATAGAGAAATAAAAAATAACTGAAGAGACATAGCTCCTGTGAAGTACTATGACTTTTAAAAGAAAAAAGTACAGTAATGTGCTGCTTCATTATGTTTCAGTCAATGACAGATGATATATGTGATAGTGGTCCCATAAGACTCCACAGGAGCTGAAAAAATCCTATTACCTGGTGACCTTGTAGCTGTTACAGCATCATAAAACAACACATTCTTCATGTATTTGTGGTGATGGGGTAAACAAACCTACTGCACTGCCATTTGTATAAAAGTATAGCATATACAATTATAATATCATAATACTTGGCAGTAATGATAAATGACTATATTACTGGTTTATATATTATATTGTACTTTTTATCATTTTAGAATGTACTTCTACTTACAAAACAAAATTTAACTCTAGGGCCAGGCATGACAGCACTTTGGAGAAACTGAAGTGAGAGGACTGCTTAAGGACAGGAATTTGAGACCAGCCATG